TTAAGCAAGCATGCAAAAATGTTGGTTGCTACTGTGGGTATTTAACCTGCTTGGTGTTCTGTTTACATTTATTAAGTATGAAATGTATTGAGTATTAACTGATAACCTTGGGTGAGTGGGGGTAGGGTAGGTAGGCTGTGTGTGGAGGGGGTCTATATCCCCATTTAACAGACAAGAAACCGAGGTTCAGAGGAGTGACAAAACTTATACTCAACAGCTCTTCCCAGGACACTCTATTCTCCTTTGCAGAGAGGTGGGCGCTGAGAGCTTGCCTTGAGCCCACATGTGGTTTCCTGTTGTACAGTCTGTTCTTGGAGCACTTTGCTGAGGAAAAGTGCTCTGGTGGTTAGTGATGGGGAGCCTGGTGACTGGTGCCTTTCCCTGAGTTCACAGGAAAGTAAATACTAGGTCTCAGGGCAGTCCCGTGACAGCCTAGCGGAGCAAATCTAGAAATAAAAAGGCCTGGCTTCCTTGTTGGACACAAGAACTGAGCTCAGAATTAAGAATATGTAGTAAGTTCAAGCACCTGGAGGCCTGGAAAATTGCCCCAAGATAGGAGGAAAGCCAACTGCTATCCAGTGGCTGAGGAAGGAGGAAATATTTCAAGGGCTAACATCAGCCAACATGGTTGAGGTCTGACTATGAATTGTCGGCCAGAGTCACCACGTCATTTTCTCTAACTCTCTGAAATAAACAAGCAGGGGTCCCTGGACCTGTCGCATCAACCATCCCACTGTAGGCAACCACCTTGTACTGGGAGTCAAGAGACCTGCTCAGGTCAGTACTTCCCATCTCTGAACCACTGCCTCCTGAATCACAGAAAATCAGAAGGAACAGGGCTTGGAGAGTGCTAGGCCAGTACTCACATTTTACAGAAAAGAACAGCTGCTGTTTACTGACCACTTACTACGTGCTATGCAGGGAGCTAAGCAGCTGTGGGCCTTAGCTACAGCAATACTCCGGAGTAGGACAGACATAGAAGCAACTTGCCCAACGCCGCACAGATAGTGGCAGGGCTAACACCTGGCTCCAGCAAACATAGGTGTGACCTCGGGCAAGGGACGGATCCTCTCTGCTCTCTTGCCTCAGCTTCCTAATCTCAAACTGGGGATAACAACAGCACTTACCTCCTAACGGCGGTTGTGAGAACTGAGTTAAAGCACGCAAATTGCATGAAGCAGTGTTTGGCACAGTGTAAACGCTACTGCTGCTATGGTTCGTTATAAGTATTCTTACCCAGTGCTTCGCCTTTCTCATCTGTAAAATGAGGTTGACTGCATCACCTGTGAGGACACCCTACGTTTATTCAATGCTGGGTCATCCACTGGGCCTTTGGCTCAGCCATGGCCCTTACCACTGGAAAATGCAGACCACTGTGTGACTTCCCCTAAAGAAAACCTTCTCAGATCACAGAAGGGAACTATCACATACACTCAGGCCTGGAAGTCAGATCCCGATTTTGCCCAAGAATGGCAAATAACTGTCCCAGAATCAGCCAGGGCTATCAAAATGAATGCAACTTTGGCCGACCATCACACATCCCTCATTGTCTTTGAAAAAGTCTTTTTTACACGGTATCTCAGGCAGGACCTCTTAAGCATTTCTCCTCCTGCTGTCCCAGCCACATGTCACATCCCTAAATTTCTCAGGTAGCTTCTTGGGCTTTCAAATAAGTGGTGAGGAGCAGCAAACAGGGTCTCTGTCCTCCAACTCACTTTTTTCCTCCTGGCCTAGAGGAGATCCTACTGCTTATGGCTCAGGAAATTCAAGCTCTGTCTGCAAAACTAGTGGCTGGGAACCTTTTCCAGGAGCAGAATTTTAAAACTTAGAGAAAGAATTCAATCTCTGGGTCCCTGCAATGAGTGTCCAGCCTGATTTCCACACCAGGCACCCTGGATTAGACAGCAGAGAAACTGGTGTCAAAAGAGCTGGGTTTGAATCCAGGTTCTGCCACTCCCAGGCAGTGTGACCTCAGGTAAGTCACTTCACCTCTCTGATGAAGGCTTCCTCATCTGTAAAATGCAGAACAAGAATCCCTACCTCACAAAGCTTTTGGGTGAGGACTAAAGGCACCAAAGAAAAGGATTTGTTTAAGATCATCTGGTAAAGACTAGAACCAAGTTTCTACATCTTGAACTGATTCTCCTCGTTTAATGCCTTACTTCTATTTGGGGGTTAAGAATGCTGAAAGGAGTCTGATTGACTTTCTGCACCATCCTCCCGCCTTTGTCTTTCTCTTAGGAGCCCAGAAGAGAAGCTACTGACCTCTTGTAGGTGTAGCCCAAGACAATGCCAGCTCCGATGACGATGATAATCCCCATCATGGTGATGCCCAGCACATAGCCTGCCAAGGACAGGACACAAGGTCCCGTTAGCCTCACCCCAGACAACCAGCAAATATTTCTTGATGAATTCCACAAGGACAGGGACAGGGCAGTCATACCCAGGGTTCCCAGGTCCTTTTTCTCCTTGGAGTTCACCCGCACCCGCTGGCTGATCCCAATCACTGGCTGCACAGCTGCTGCCTCGCTCCTGGCAGGCAGGGCATTGGCAGGACCATGTACCTGCACCTCATCTCCACCTGGCACTTCAGACACCTCCTCGGTTTCTGTTGAGGTTGGGGAGACTTGGGAGGTGGTCTCTGGAAGTGAAGTGGGAAAGAGCTCTCATTAGAGAGTGACCTCAGTGACTTCCAAGGCTGAACCTGGCCTGGGTGTTGGGGGAAATGGGGGGGGGTCCCCCTTAGAATGCCCCATACACACTCAGATCAGACCCCGCCACCATATCCAGGACAAGGCAAATGTGAGGGGAAGGCCATATAAAGAGCCTCTCCTGCTTCGCACGTCTTCATCGGTTCAAACTTGCCATCTTCCAAAACCCACCCAGCTCAGTTGCCATCTTCTCCAACCGGGGTCCTCCTTCACGCCAGGAGACAATCCATGACCCCTCTGAACAGCTCACATTTATAGAGCCCACGCTTTGTGCCACTTCCTGTCGTATGCTCTACATATCCCATGTAATCCGAGAGAATTAACTGTCTTGCTGCCTTGCGAGCAACAAGCCTGCGCTCCGGAGTCTAAGAAATTTGGGTTCAACTCTGGACCCTGCCACTGCCTTCGCAAAACCGCTGAACTTCTCTGAGGCTCAGATCCTCCAGACGGCTTCTTCTCGTGGGGGCGGGGAGCTGCGAGCAGGGCGCCTAGCACAGGGCAGACGCTCCGCGGACGGTCAGTAGCTGCCGAGGGGCTCGCTAACCGCGTCCCAACCCAGGCTCGAGTCCCGGCGGCTCGAGGAGGCGGGGCTCCGGGCGGGAGCGCGCGGCCGAGGGGCGCGGCCTCGCCTCCCACGGTTGTTTACAAGGCGCCGGCGGAGGATGAGCTCACTCGGAACGGCGGCGGCGGCCAACGGGCTTTTGGTCCCGCGGCCTGGAGACAGCCCTGGCCAATCGGGTGGCGCGGGGGCGGGGCGGAGCTGGCCGGCGCCGCGCGGCCGCACGTGCGCGGCGGGCGTAACGGCCGCTCCCAGGCCGCCCTGGGTGCGGGAGCCCGGGAGTCCCCAGCTCCTTCGGGTCTCCAGTGGGTACCTGGGCACCGCAGGTCCTCGCAAGTCCGCTTCTCCGGCGCGCCTGCCTCGCCGCTGATGTAGCACCAGGGCCCGCGCGGATCCTGGTCTGGGTTCCGGCAGTAGCTGTGGTTGCGGACGCCTGGGAGGGGAGAGAAGGCGCCGTGGGCCGGGGCCGGGACGGGGCCGGTACCGCGGCCGCCACCCGCCCGCCGCCCGGCGCGGACACTCACCAGCCTGGAGGGCAGACCCCGGGCCGCCCTGTGCGTCCAGCCAGTTGAGGCAGCGGAAGCCTGGGGCAGGGGCGGATTGGTCCGCCCGGTACAGGTGGCCCTTGTCCCAGAAGCAGCCTGTGAGGAAGAGGAACGCCCGGACACTGAGTAGCGGGCACGGGAGGCCGGGCCCACCGGGCTGTGTTCCTGCCCCTCTGGGAGACCCTGGGCCCTGCGGGGCCTCCCTGCTCTTACGTGAAAACCCCACCTCCCTCGAAGGGTGGTTGTGAGGCCCGAAAGAGAAGGAAGAGAAAGTGCTTGTAAAGTCTCTGGCAGGTGCCCGGCCCTCTGTCAGCGCTCAGCTTAATTTTTAAAAATTTTTTGGTAACCCGGAAAGCACAGCACAAGCGCAAGGGATTGTTACTCCGAAACTTGTGGCCACTTTAGAACAGAGTGCAGGGAACGCCTGGATTTGGGTCTCTGTGGAGATGGTGGGAGTTTGGGGTCGGTGGGCAGCCAGACCTGGAATTCATCCTTGTGCTGTAATTCCACGTTACATAAACTCCGGTTTCTTTCCACGTGGATAGGACCACACTTGCACTGGCAACACCCCCAAGAGAATTTTACAAAAGCCTTGATTCAGTCAGGCCAAAGAGAGCATTGGGGGGAGGCAACCTGCCTCACCGCGGCTTGGATGCGACTCCAGACTCCAGCTCCCTTTAGGAAAGCCACAGGAAGAGGCTGGGGAAGGAGTGCCTGTGCTCCGGCTGCAACGATGCAACGCTCCTGAACAGAACAGGACTTAGGGAGCAGGGGAGATGAACCCACAAGTTCTAACCACCCATGAGCCACAAGCAAGAAAAAGGGGAGAGAAAGTGGCTACTTGTCTTTGTTCATAATGGGCAAAGATGGAGCTGCAAGCCACTGGCAAGAAAAGGAGAAAGAAGGAAGAAAAAAAGCTTTCATGTAACAACAAAAAGTGGCTGAAAGCTTAATTTCCTGTCATTTTCCTGTCTAGCCTGACCATGCTTGGGAAATAGCTTTAACCTTTCTGCTTCATTAGGTTGCTGCAGAGAGGAAAGATTGTAACCTCACCTCCAGATCCATAGGCTTCCAATAGGAGCATGTTGCTGATGAGGAATGTTTGCACCCAGGCCAACAGCATCCTCACCTTCGTCTTGCAGGTGACTGACGGCCAGTGTCCAGGCAGGGTCCCCTTGGCAGCGGCTCTGCCTCCGGGTCCCAGCCTTGCAATCAGACCTGCCCTTGTTACGCTCTTCTGGTAAACAGCCTCTCTCTAGAGCTGGGAGCTTCCCAGCTAGCTTGCTGCAGCGAGGTGTTTTTCGGCTGAAAGGCGCCCCCTGGGTCCTAAGTCCCTATATCCTGCAAGATGACTAACCCTGAGCCAAGAGAGGAACTCGGCCAAGTGAAGAGAGGCAGGAGGTTCAGGCTGTGCTCAGCAACGGATCGGTGTGAGACTTGCACTGGCTGCATCCCCAGGGGTTTTCATCTCTTCTGTTTCCATTTGTGTGAGTACAGAAAGAGTAATTCTGTCAAGAGACATCAATGGGGGCAGGGGTTTTGGAATTAGAGCCACTAAGGCAGAACAATTTAGGGAAGACATGCTACCAGGAGGAACTCGGGCCCACACAGGGGACAGAAATAAGAGTACCCCGGTGGAAGTAACTCTTTATACCCACTCTTAAAAAACAGCCTTGTGGTTTATACCTGTTTACGAACACTGACTCCTTTTTTAAACAGTGTAACTTTGCCAGGGTCAGATTCAGGCACATTCCCTTGCTTATATCTGGGTGTCATATATAGTAGAAAGGGCCTCTTCAGTTGAAAACACATGTTAGGCAAACATTGGGACATTTGCTCAGCTATATTATTTAATAGTCTGTGCTTTCTACCAGACCTGAATTCATACAGAGGAAGTTAAGTAAAATATTTGCTTTTCCTCCCAACCCTATGGGAAATCCATTTGCAGTGATTTATATCCATCACTAAACCTCACCACATCCATATGAGTTCAGCCGTTTGGAGTTAGACAGAAGGGCCCTCTTCCTGTTTGGCTGACAGTTCAAGTTCCCAGGCAGCCTCTGTAAACTAAGAGATAGAGCAGAGTGATTCTCTAAGACTACCCTGTGACTCAGGCAAATCTCAAAATAGAAATGGAAGACTGTTTCAGTCTGAGGCTTGCATCTTGCAGGCAGTAATTTGGGGAGAAGAAAAAAAACTTCACAGTAGTTTCAAAACTTTCTATCAAGGAAGAAGGCTAATGTCAATCCAACTAATCAGAAAGAATTTGAGTTCAGTCCGATTTCAGACATGAAAAGAATGGAGATGTAAATTTTGTTTACTCTTTGGAGAAATTTGCTGACAGTGTTTGCTTTCTTCAGTCCATTTAATAAGACATGTTGCTTTGTTTTTGTAATCACTCTCCAACCTCTGATCCTGACAAGCTTCTGATCCTGACTTGATCTACACTGGGAATTATGTCACAGACTTGCAGAAGGTCAGGCCACTTCACATAGACACAGGCCAAAATTTTAGAACTTAATTCTAACATAATACTCAGGGGTGTTTTTTAAAGTTTTTTTAAATTTTACAGATATTTTGAGAACCTACCACATGCTAGATACTGTTCTAGATACTGAAAATATATCTCTGAACAAAATTTTGAAATCTCTGCCCTCATGGAGTTTACATTCTGGGTGGGAAAGACAAATAATAAATATATACAATGTCAGGTGGCCTTAAATGTTATTTAAAAAAAGGGAAATATGGTAAGGGAGATAGAGTAATGGGGTGATATTTCACTTGCTAAAGAAAGCTTACACTATTTTCAGGAAACCAGTAGGATATTTCTATAGGCAAAAGGCTGAAGGGGAACGTTTCTTTGTATAATTTTCCTTGGGGATCCTAAATACTCTTACATTGCAAAAGCTGTATGATGTGTATTTTGTTTCATTACATAAAATACATAGGCTTGAGAAAATGACAAAGCGATTTTTAATTTCAGAGTAGCAGGGGGTTCTTTTTGATTGATCCTTCAGCACCTACTCTGTGGCCTTTGTCTGCAATGAGTGCTCAGCTATTGTCCGGTGAAATGCTCCTCTTCAGACTTGGAAGGGCTACTTTGAGGTTATAATACTTTTCCCTCTGATCACAGGAGAGACAGATTATACACAGGCCAGCACTTGCACCATTGTCAGAGTACAGACTTTTCTTAAATTTTACAAATATTTTGAGAACCTTCTACATGCTAGAATATACCTATGTGAATACTACTGTGAATATACCTATGAACAAAATATTTGAAATGTCTGCCCTCATAGAATTTACACTGTAGTTGGGAAAGACAAATGATAAATACATACAGTGTCAGGTGGCCTTAAGTGTTAAAAAAAAAATAGTGGAATAGGGTAAGAGACGTAGATTATCTACTGTGCCCATGTAGGGGTGCCAGTATTTCTCCCTGAGAAGCCCAAGCTTCTTTACCTGTTGCTGTAATCATGGAATTTTTCTGTTTTAAAAACTGCTATCTTCCCTAATTTACAGCAAAATCATATTTTGTGCCATATGTCTTGTCAGTAACAGCACTGCCAATAACAGATATGACAAGCCAAGGGAGATTGTTTTCAGCTTAGTCATCTCTGCTTTTTCTCCCCTGTAACTAAGACATTCATCAGCATGATTCGATCTTTCTGAGGAGTGACACACTTGTTTCTCAGTCTTTCTAAGGCATATTCTTATAATAGGTTCAGTGCCTTCCTTTGTCAGGGAAATTGTATTTAGTTCAGAGATGTGTCTGTCATCACCAGTGACACTGTTTTGGTCTTTTTCTCATGATCCTGATTTGAACTTTGGTTCATGTATTGGTACAATATGGCCATATTTTATGGCCTATAGTTACTCCAAACTTCAGATTTCTTCTGGAAATATTAACTGCAATAATAATATGACACAGTCCTACTCAAATACTCATTTTGAATTTTTTATATCCCTAAAGACAATATTGTGAAATATGATACTCATTTAACTAAATATTTCAGGGATGTTTGACCGTCAGTTTCGTATTAAATCGGTACTAATCCAGTGTGGAACTGCAAACTGAGCAGGGGGTGATTTTATGAAGCTTGTTAAGGAACTAATATTCCAGTCAAAATATCTAAACCCCAAGGATGCTTTCTTTGAAATTATGGCCTTCAGTGAATTAGGTTATTTTCATTTTGGTGTTTAATGAATGTTTGACGTTAAGGGGAAAGGCAGAATACCATGTAAGGAAAAAGTCCAGTAAGCCTATAGAGAATAGTAGTTTTTTTTTATTTTGGTATCATTAATCTACAATTACATGAAGAACATTATGTTTACTAGGCTCCCCCCATCACCAAGTCCCCCCCACATACCCCATTGCAGTCACTGTCCATCAGCGTAGTAAGATGCTGTAGACTCACTACTTGTCTTCTCTGTGTTGCACAGCCCTCCCCGTGCCCCCCACGCACTATACATGCTAATTGTAATGCCCTCTTTCTTTTTCCCTGCCCTTGTCCCACCCTTCCCACCCATCCTCCCCAGTCCCTTTCCCTTTGGTAACTGAGAATAGTAGTTTTTTAAGGGTAAACAATAAGATAGCCAAGAAGGCTTGTGAATTGCAGTTTACTTTCAGAAACAAGCTATTCCACAGTGGAAACTGAGGAGCCACAAAGGGCACTTGGGAACATCACATCACTGGTTTTTAGAAATAAGGGAAGAGTGAATTCCTGAATGAGAATGGATTTTGATTTAGAGGCCAGCCTTAAGAAATATGGCTTTTGCCATGAGGAAAACAGTCTTCAGAGTCCAGGGTAAATTCTGGAGGCTATAAACTTAATTGATTGATAAGCCGAGGCTGTCAATATTTAAGGTAAACCCACTAAGCTACAATTACACCTCTTTGGGAAGGGAATCTAATATTCTCCAATCTCAGTAGACTGTATCTGCAGCTTTTAAAGTTTATCAACAGCCAGTATAAGCATTATGACAAATAAGTGAGAATGCAAGCGCAGCCCAAAACCTGGCCTCCGGCCTCAGCGCTGCAGTATGATCGTGGGAGAATTACTTGGCATCTGCAGTTCTAGGTTTCCTTAGCCTGCTGTTGTAGTGGCTAGGAGTACAGGCCCCAGTGTCAGCATTCAAATCCCAGCTCTGACACTTGCTAGCAATGTCATCTTAAGGAAGCTACCAAATCTGACACATATGGAGAGAGAGAGAAAAAAGTAGTACCTACATCATCATATTGTTGGCATTCATTGGGCCCTGAATAAGCATTAACTGTGTTAGTTCTAGTGTCAGGAACCTCTAACTTAGAAGTACTGAGTATATTTGCTGTCTTCCAGAAACTTAAGTCTGGTGTTAAAGACCAGGCTAAAAACATATGAGAATAAATACAACATAGGGCATTTATAAGTAGGTGTTAAAGAGTGTGATACAAAAATGAAGTTTTATTGATTCAATGATTATTTATTAAATGTCTGCTGTGCACCAGGCAGGCACTCAGCTGAGTACTGAGGATACCACCATGAATCCTGTGAGGTCCTTGTTCTCAATAAACCTCATGATCTTGTGATGGAGCAGGTAGTAGTAGACAGGCAAAACAATACAGTGAAATGTGCTACAGTAGAGATTAGCCCTGGGGGCTGTGGGAGCTCGCAGGAAGGGAATATATGGACTAATTTTAGGAAGTCGGAAAAGGCTTTTCAGGAAAAGTAGAGTCTGAAGAGGGAAGGAGTTAGTGTACTTGGCAGGTCAGGCAACGTGCAGAAGCCTGGAAGTTTAGGCTGTCACTGTGGCTAGCGGAGCAGTCAGGGTGCTGATTAAAAAGAGGCCAAAATACAAAAGCATGAAGCCAAAGAGGTAACACTTGCTGACCAGGTTAAGGAGGTTCTGGGGTGTGGAGGTTTTCCTGAAGACAGTTGGGAGCCAGTAAAGAGCTTTAAGCAAGAGAGTGACAAGAGGCAGAGGTATGTCTTAGATCACTCAGGCCACAGGGTGGAGACCTAGAGGAAGGCCAGCAAGGATCACTGCAAGGCCACTTCAGTGAGCTAGAGAGAGGACCTAGGCAAAAGAACAGGCCCCAGAACTGAGTCAGGCCACTGGGTTTGAATCCTGCTCTGCCACTTAATAGCTATGTGACTTCATGCAAGTTACTTAACCACCCTAAATCTCTGTTTCCTAATCTGAAAATTGGGATGATAATACAATTTACTTTAGAGGCTTGTTGGTTTCTGGTTTGCCATTGAGGAGATGGTGGCGCCATTCTCTGAGATACGGAACAGGAGGAGAAGCAGGTTTGCAGGAGGTAGAGAAAATGTAGCCAAAGGTGGGTGGATTGCAGTCAGGGGAGTATGGTGTTAGAGAAGCGAAGGGAAGAGACTGTTTCAGGAAGGAGGGCGCGGTCAGCATTGTTAAATGCTAACTGGACCTTTGAATAAGATAGCTAAAAAAGAATCCATTGGTTTTAGCAACAAGGGGGCCATTGCTGACTTTGTCAGGAGGAATTTTGGTGATGATGGTGGAGAGCTACATGGATTGTGGAAGGAAGAGGAAATGATGAAGGGAGATGGTGAGAGCAGATAACTCCTTCAAGAAGTTTAGCTGAGAAGGACCGAAAGTGACTGGAAGGAATATGGGCGCAGCTGACATGGGACTCAGTACTGGCATATCTTGGAAATACCGTGGGTTTGATTCCAGGCCGCCATAATAAAGCTGCTGACTGATTAGGGTGGTGGCTGCTGAAGGCTGGGGTGGCTGTGGCAATTTCTTAAAATAAGACAACGGTGAAGTTTGCCACATCGCTTGACTCTTCCTTTCACAATTTCTCTGTGGCATGCGCTACTGTTTGATAGCATTTTACCCACAGTAGAACATCTTTCGAAATTGGAGTCAGCCCTTCGAAGCCTGCTGCTGCCTTATCAACTAAGTTTATGTAATATTCTAAATCCTGTGCTGTCATTTCAACAGTCTTCTCAGCATCTTCATCAGGAGTAGATTCCATTTCAAGAAACCACTTTCTTTGTTCAGTCATAAGAAGCAACTCCTCATCTGTTAAAGTTTTATCATGAGACTGCAGCAATTAGGTAGCATCTTTAGATTCTACCTCTAATTCTAGTTCTCCTTCTGTTTCCACCAATCTGCAGTTACTTCCTCCACCTACGTCTTGGATGGGGATCCAAGGATTGGAATCAGCTTCTTCCAAACTCCTGTTAATGTTGCTATCTTGACCTCTTCCCATGAATCACAAGTGTTTTTAATGGCATCTAGAATGGTGAGTCCTTTCCAGGAGGTTTTCGGTTTACTTTGCTCAGATCGATCGTAAGAATCACTATCTATGGCAGCTTTAGCCTAACAAAATGAGTAAGACTTGAAATTCAAAATTACTTATTGATTACTTCATGGACTGAATAATGGGTGTTGTGTTAGCAGGCATGAAAATAACATTAATCTCGTTGTCTGTCTCCATCAGAACTCTGGAGTGACCTCAGAGCATATTGTCAATGAGCAGTAATGTTTTGAAAGGAATCTTTTTCTTAGCGGTCGGTCTCAATAGTGGGCTTAAAACATTCAGCAAATCATGTTGCATGTGCAGTCACCTAGGCTTTATTATAGCGCTTATAGAGCACAGGCAGAGTGATGTAGCATAATTCTTTATGGACCTAGGATTTTCATAAAGAAAATTGAGCTTGGGCTTCAACTTAAAATCACCAGCTGCATTAGCCCCTAACAAGAGAATCGGCCTGTCCTTTGAAGCTTTGAAGCCAGACATTGACTTTTGTCTAGTTAGCAAAGTCCTTGATGACATCTTCTTCCAATATAAGGCTGTTTCATGTACACTGACAGTCTGTTGTTTTGTGTAGCCACCTTCATTCATTCTCTCAGCTAGATCTTGCTGCACCTTCTATATCAGCACTTGCTGCTCCACCTTGCATTTTTATGTTGTGGAGACAACTTCTGTCCTAAACCTCATGGACCAACCTCTGCTAGCTTCAGGTTTTTCTTCTGCAGTTTTCTTACCTCTCTCAGGTGCCACAGAATTAGTTAGGGCCTTGCTGTAGATTAGGCTTTGGCTTAAGGGAATGTTGTGGCTGGTTTGATCTTCTATCCAGGCTGCAAAAACTTTCTCCACATCAGCAGTAAGGCTGTTTCACTTTCTTATCATTTGTGTTTACTGCAGTAGCATTTTAATTTCTTTCAAGAACTTTTCCTTTGCATTCATAACCTGGCTGATTCATGCAAGAGGCTTAGTTTTTGGCCTGTCCTAGCTTTAGACATGCCTGCCTCAATAAGCTTAATCATTTCTAGTTTTTGATTTAAAGTGAGAGATGTATAACTTCTCTTTTACTTGCACACTTTGAGGCCATTGTAGAGTTACTAATTGCCCTCATTTCAATATTGTTGTGTCACAGGGAATCGGGAGGCCCAAGGAAAGGGAGAGAGATGGGGTAGTAGCCAGATGATGGAACAGTCAGAACACACACATTTTTCAATTAAGTATGCTATTTTATATGGGTGCAGTTTGTGGTGCTCCAAAACAATGACAATAGTAACATCGAAGGTCACTGATTGCAGATCCATATAACATATAATAATAATGAAAAAGTTTGAAATATCATGAGAATCTCCAAAATCTCTGTGACACAGAGATATGAAGTGAGCAAATGCTGTTGGAAAAGGGCACTGATAGAACTCGACAAAGGTGGCCACAAACCTTCAATTTGTAAATAATTCAATAATCTGTGAGGCACAGTAGAGCAAAATGCAGTTAAATGGGGTCTTCTGGGCCACTCATTTGGGCTCCTGGCAGGTAGATTTCTGAGTGGCTGTGCAACCAGTCTAATTGGTCAGGAGCCATGCCAGGAAGATTAAGAAGGGGGCTGACTCGGGAATAAGTGTTGGATTTGGCCCCTGTGGTTTCGAATTTGACATAAGGGTTAAGGTATGCACATAGAAATGACTAGCCGGCAGTTTGATATGGGACTAGTGATGGGCCAGTTGAACAGAAAAATCAGTAAGACTCAGGTAAGTGGGGGTGAGCAAAGAAGGTACTAGAACAAAAGCAGGCTGGCAAGAAGGCACAAAGGTGTTTTGGGTTTAGCCTTAGAATTTATGAGCATAACAAGAGTGTGTGAACTCCATGAAGCCAAGCAGAGGGGGAGAGACTGGGGAATGAGCTCATGGTGGACTTCATAGCTCATCAAGAGCATTTGTGATCAGCAGGGGAGTTGAGAGATGGAGCCCAGGAGTTTACACTGTCAGGGAGAGGGAGCGGGAAATGGAAAGGGCACTGAGATGGTAAAAGTGCCCTGGGGATGGGGTTGGGGTTGGAGTGGTTGGACTAGTCTCTGCAGTCAAGTCACATGGCACGGAAGGGCTCTGCGGGTTGACTTTAGCAAAGCAATGCTTTTGCCCTAATCTTTGCTATGTCTTCAAAATGTTAAGAAGCTCATCTGTGTATCTCAGGTGTGCCAAGCCTGAATTGACATGAATTACTTTATCAAAGAAGGTTGTAGTTAGCATTTGTTTATGTGTAAACAATATGAAAATCAGATATTTATTTATTAAACATACCCTGGGTGGGGGAATAAGAAGGTAGCTGGGAAAATCTGTCTGATCCACCCTTAGAAAGCTGGTGTCTCACTGGACTGTTAGGCTTATTATTTCAATGAGCACACAGTTCTTGAGCACCTTCTGCACCAGGACTGCCATTCCTTTTACCGTCTCAGTGCCCTCCCGGCCGACTCCCTCGTTCTGCCCTGTCATTGGGACTATTCTCTTCAAAACTTTCTTTACCCATCTCTTGGGTGGGCTCCATCCATCTCCTTTTAAAGAATTTGTATTATGGGAAATACTAACAAATGTTAGATATTCTTCAAACTCTGTTACAGTAAAATGGAGAGAGAAGAAAAAAAGAATCCCAAACAAGATCATAGAGTGATTGTGGCTGAGAGGAAATACAAGGACAAGAGAAATCAACATCTTTTTACTCTGAGGCACAGCCATAAGATCTGATTGCTGCCCTTCTCGCCCTCTGTGAAGCCCAGATAACAAAAATGAGCAGTGTTTTGGGGGGTCGTGGGGGGTTGTCCTAGGTGGACTCAGATTGGCCCCAGCCTGGCAGGACCCTGAGTTCAATAATAGAAGGTTAAGTACCAGCTTCAAACACTCACTGTGTTGTGAGTTCCTAATGATATTTCTACCTGGAGCTTTCTTCTACATTTACCTTAATGGCTCAGTTGGAAGTCAGCCATCACTGGTAAGTGTTCTTGAGTTTTATGCAGTATTGGCAGCAGCTTCCTTATTATCCTGACATTAGAAATTGAAATTCTGCCCAGCTGCAGCCAGGCTGTTGCTACCCAGGCAGTGGTGAAGCGTTCCCACTTTCTAGGATCTTGTCCTTTCCAACACTGAGTGGCCTAACCTTTTGTCACCTTCACAAGTCATCAGATTTATGAGAAAGCCTTCCACTTCTGGAGTGGCTCTGCCATCAGCCAGTAACAAGCTTTTTGCCCTGAGTTTCTGCTCTCTTGGATATAGTAGGAAAATCTCCTCCAATAAACATTAAGCTGTCAATGCACGTACAGCATTTAGAAGAGTGCCTCACGCACATTAAGAGCTTCTGGTATTATTATTAATATTATTGATGTTGTTAACTGCCACCATACAAGATCAGAAACTAGACCATACCTGACCCTTGGCTTTTGTTTATGTTCTCCTGGATGGTGTAAGCAAATCCAAATTACCTGGAAATAGAGTTGAAAATATTTGGCTTCCTCCTGATTTCGTGGCCATTGTCAGCTCAAAGAGTCTTTAAAATATCAAAATGTTATCACTTTAGTATTTGTACTTGTTAGAGATTTACTACCCCTCTCGGCATTCCTAAGAGATTCCAGTCCTGATCTGACAGTGGGATGGATAATCCAGCAACCTCTACATGGAATGATATCCATTTTAGCCAGCCAGCCAGTGTTTACCAAACAGTAGCTCAAATGGGACAGTAACAACCATCATAGTTCACATTATTGAGCGCTCAGTGTGTACCAGATACCGTTCTGAATGCTCTTATATATACTGTCTCACCTATTGTTCATAAAAAACCGTATGTGTAGGTACTGTTGTTATCCCCATTTTGTAAACCATAAGTCATAACGAAGGTAAGTAAATTGCCTAAAGCCACAAAGATGGAATAGAAGGAAGAGCCAGGACATACCAGGCAGTCTGACCCCACTGCTTGGGCCGGCGACCACCTCACTGTACTGACAGGGAGAACCCTGGATTTGAGAGGCAGAAGTCCACCTTCGAAGACGTCCCTTAACGATGAATGACAATTGAATGATCGTGGGAAAGTCACTCAAACTCTGTGAACCCATCTGTTCATCTATAAAATGGGATGGCGATGTACACTTCACAGGGTCGTTGTCAAGACTGTTCTATTGCCCTACACCTGTGAGGCATTCAGTAAATGTTAGTTTCATCTCTTCCAACTCTGTTCTAAGCACTACACTGGTGCTTGAGAGGGAAAAGAAAAGTTGTGCCTCCTCGGGGTCCTGATCTGGGGTGGAGAAGGGAAAGGGAAGAAGAGGGACCAAATTTGAGACCAAACCTTTAGAGCAGAATATACGAAACATCACTGTGGAGGGGCGTACTGAACGAGGTGCACAGAAAGTGTTTTCTGACGTGGGGCAGAGTGCAGTCAGAGAGGCTTCAAGGCCCCAGTGATGTGTTGGATGTTAACAGACAAGACAGGCTTGGATGAGGTAGACACAGGGCGCACGTCTCCCTCCTTCCAGGTGGAAGGAACAGCACGAGCACAGGTACTGGAGCATGGAAGAGCCTGGCAGCCTGGAGTGGGCAATGGCCAGGGTTTGGTATGCACTTGGGGGTTGAGGATGAGGTGGGCACTGATGGTGACAAACGAGTTGCAAAGAGAAGGGCACAGAAGCCTTCAGAAGTCAGTAGGTTTCTTCACCACTAAGACACAGATAACTTTAAAAGCAAATTGTAATGAACTTAAGAAAATTTAACAACACAAAAACTTATTCTCTCCATTTCTTGTAGTTTTTTTCAATGCACATACCATAAAATTCACCACTTTACAGTGTACAATTCAGCATCTTTTAGTATTTTTACAAAGTCGTGCTGCCATCCCCACTACCTCATTCCAGAGCACTTTCATCGCCCCAGAAAGAAGCCTGCTGCCAGTCCGCAGGCACCCCCCATTCTCCTCTCCCCCCACCCTCTGGCAGACCTTGACCTACTTTCAGTGTATGG